ACCGCTTTACGTCAGGAGGAAGTCCGCAGACGTACTTTTTTAGTCGATTTAAGATGCAAACATTTAGACGAGCTCACATGAAACTACTGTCCTCAGAGAATAATCCTGTGTTCAATAATAAGCTCTGTTAACCTCTGCTAAAGTAAATAGTCACTGCATGGAGGTGAAAATGCTAAGATGATTAATTAAGCCTTAGATGCTTCACAAATTAACCCAAACCTGATGTATGATTGCGTAGGAAAACAAATCCTGTCATTCAAGATCAGTTATCAAAAAGCTGCACAAAACCAGACAAGGAACAAACAAAAAGACAAACGATGTCTGCGTTTCTCCAGGTGACGTCAGAGTTTCTGGTATCCAGACCTTTCTGTGGGAAACGATGTCTGGCTCGCTATAAAGGCAAATGGTCTCGTGTTGAGGTGAGACAGAAACGGATCAAAATGTAAAGTGTCAAACAAATGGATACAACTGCTAATTATTCTCAAATTTAGAGTTAGTGAAGGCATAGCTGTCGTCATGCAGGCTTTTGTCCCCAATGTTTTCCAACCCAGATCACCAACCTGCACGGCAGCCGAGTGCTGGACATCCTGTTCGTAGACGTGGGCGTCCAGGCTTCCGTAGAGGTGTTTGAGCTCAGAGAGATCCCGCCGCTCTTCCTCCGTGACCTCGTGTCCATCCCACCTCAGGTCCAACACTGAAAAGAAGTCAGTCACTGTCTTTGAGAATGTGGTTTCCATACAAAGTCATGTTCTAAACGACTCGTGCTCAGGTTGTGAAGTGCTGCCTAGCAGACCTGGCGGTCAGTGTGGGGTCCTGGTCTTCAGATGCTGTCCAGTGGCTTCGAGAGAAAGTGCTAAACACCCCGGACTGCAGCATGAAGGCGAGTTTTTGCCGTTCACTTACAGATGAGCTTTATAGAAGACGGCCTTGTTAGATAGTCTTTTACTATTCCAGTGTAATTAACGCTTAGAAATGCGTTGTAACAATTTAATTTAATTAAAATTATAATGGCTTTAGTTTCCCAGAAAGATTACAGTTGGTAGACACACTTCTGCTAATGTGCTAATAGTATAGCTAACATTTTTTTGTAGCGCTCTAGCGTTTTCGCTAACATTCAAATGGCTTAGCGCACTTAGCTTCCCTTAATTTAACTTTTTATGAATAAATTGTAAAGCATTAGTTTACTAGGATGTTTTATAAACTCTCATTTGAATAAAGTTTTACATGTTGAATTTTTGGTTGTTAAACTTTGGTTTTGTCCCTTTTCTTCTCTTTTTTTGTGTTTCATGGCGAGATGTCAAACTTTGAGGTCTGGTTTTTCTCTTCAGTATGCGTGAAAACTCACCATTTTTGATAAGTTTAGATCCCCCATGCCTACTGAGCAAACTGATGAAATTAGAAGTCAATTGATTGGTCTGTAGGATGAGTTTTGATCAAATGCAGGTCAAAATTGGAACTTCAATCCAAAATGCCCAACTCTGTAAGTCTTGGGGAGTTGTAGAAGTCTACCAAATTTCATAGCTGTACGACAAAGCAAGGTCAATCTGGAGGGTGTTTGAAAGTTGCAGGGGGACGCCGTTGATCAATTCGTGTTGCAACTTTTGCAAAATTTTATTCACAAACTCCCACACTCCCCAGGTTGCCAAAATGGACGAAACCAAGCACTGCGTCTGTGTCCACCTGTTCACCGACAAGAACTTCCACGACCCGGCCCGCAGCCTCAACCACCAGATGGCCCAGTCCGACCTGTTCAAGCAGCAACCGGATGTCTTTCTGATCAGCCACAGGTCTCATCTGCAGCTTTCCCACTCAGCTTCCTGCAGCTCTCTTCTGATTAATATCCGTTTATGGTCACAGTAAAATGGGATTTTCTTTTTGCTCATCTCTTTTCACAGCCCGACCAAGGTTTCCACAAACCCGTTTTCCTCCAAGACCTCGAGCAGCAGCAGTGACTCCACCGGTGGCAGTCCGACGTCGGCTTCTGTCCCAGCCAAGCCTCATCCCAGGAGGACGCAGTCAGGACCTAAAGGAGGAGGACACGCAGCGTCCACCAGCCCTCCTGGAACACCATCATCACCTCCAGCACTCCTCCAGCTGCCGCCACTGCTGGAGCTACCCCAAATCGGTCAGAATAAACAATGCAAAGCATAAATCTTGTAAAGAAAACCTAATTTTTTTCCAGGCTTTTTTAATTAAAATGTTCCACCGTACAGTGCTGTCATTTTGTGTACTTGCAGGACACAATATGGATGTGTACGTGTCTGTGGCGTGTCATCCTGGACACTTTGTGCTGCAGCCCTGGAGAGACATGTACAAACTGGTGGTGCTGATGGGAGAAATGATACTTTCCTACAGTAAAACCGAGGAGAAACCATTTAAAGTGGAGAAGAATCAGATTTACGCAGCTAAAATTGAGAACAAGTGAGCGTTAACCTTATTTCATTAACCAACAGATTACAAGCAGCTGGTTTTCCATTGAGAGCTTGATTAAAACTAGTTCTCTGTTAATATTACTTTGCAGTTGGCACCGTGTGCTGGTGAAGGGAGTTCTGACCAACGGGCTGGTTTCTGTTTATGAGCTGGACTATGGTAAACATGAGCTGGTCAGCTGCAGTCAGCTCCGGACTCTGAGCAAGAAGTTCAGACAGCTGCCGTTCCAGGGCATCCACGCCCAGCTGGCTGGTGAGTCCAGGTTCAGCCTTTATAGTTTCACTATTCGTTTTTAAGGTTTGCTCAGCAATAAAGCCTTTCTTCTCATGTAACCCTTGTAAAATAAATTTATGTTTTGGGTTAAATTGGTGCGAGACACTGCATTTCTTTTTTTTGATGAGAAATTAAGTTTCGGATTTTGTTCTTTAAATATTAAGCGGTTAAATCTGTTGGTTGAGTAATAATGATCTTTCCCTGCACCTTAGGATGCATTTTTATTTATTTTTTTTATTAATCCATGCGCTAGTATTAGATTTTACCACAATCTGAACTCCGGTTTACTGACCGTTTCTCGCTTCTCTTGCAGGAGTGAAGCAGCGGCTGTGGTCAGAGGAAGCCTCCATCGTTTTCAGGAACCACGTGGAGAAGAAACCTCTGGTGGCCCAGCTGGAGGCCATGCAGGACGCCGACAACCCGTGGGACAGGAAGCTGAGCGTCTTCCTGGTGGACACCTCGCACGAGGAACACGACGTCTGGATTCACGACATCATGGCCGAGTTTGCGGATGAGCAGAGCAACGAGCTGTAGACTCAGGGCACCGAATCAGAGTTTCATGGTTTTTATAGCCAGCAGCTCTTCTGCTCTTTACTGAAGACTGGATGTAATAAAGTGAGGAAAAGTTCAGGTTTGTAGTTGTTGTATAATTTGACTTAAAGAAGGAAAGAATAAAACATAGAAAAGGATTAACGGCATCTAAATCAGCAACAATATAGAGATAAAAACTAAATTAATTGGTTACTAAGTGGGTATAGCTATTATAGAAATGTTGTGGTGAACTTTATTTTTTTTTCTGCTATAAACTGAAATAGTTTTAACTGTTGAAACGACCTTCAAAGCATACAGTACGGCTTTAACTGCATGCACATCCTGCATCAATCTGAAGAACAATGTGAGCCTCACGCATTATCACATGCTGGTTTAAACTTACTGTCATGCTGAAAAGAAAGTACACCCTCCTCCAGTTTTAAATGTTACAGTGTGAATTACATTTAAAACTGTGTGTCTAAAACATAACTGTGTGTTTTAGACACACACAGTTCAAAAAGATGAGTCCAGTGTGGAAAAGTTATTCCCTAAAACACGAAATTCTAGTCTGCTAGAATGTAAAGAGGGTGTACTTTCTTTTTTTAACGGGGCTGTAGGTGTATTTGTTTACAAAGCCTGCTTACTGATGGTGTTTCTCAGTGTTTGCAAAGTTTACAAAAGTCAGAGTGAACATTCCCTGGAGAGGAGGATGAAATAAAAGAAAAAATTAAACCGAGAAGAATGAGAAGATATTCTAAATCATAAAATGTTTAAAATGTGAAGACAAACCTGGACTGTATGTTCCAGGGTGACAAATATTACTCTTGGAGGACGTTCAGTCATCCTGCTTTGTAAATAACAAATCTGATGCGTTTATTTAACAGCGATTATTTTCCATCTTTGTGGAAGAGAAAAATAATGGATTCTGAATTTAAAAATCGTTTCAATAAGAAAGTATTCAAATTACAGTTTGCAATCATAACTGATATACTCTTTATGATCTCAAAATTAGACATGACAATGACAGTCATTTGCAGTTAATGATTTTTTTCTTCTTTTTTGCAAAGTTCAAATGTGCAGCCCAAACATGGGAGTTTTGTCTTTTTTTTGGTTTGCACAAAGTTACAATCCTGAATATCCTCCCAGAGTAGATGTCTAATTAGATGTATATATTATTTTTAATATTGTTTGTAATACAGTTTAGTTCATACTTGGAAAGATTAAATTGAAGCCTAATCATTAAGATTTTTACAAGCTGTGAACTACAGAAACATGGTTTCAAAACGTATATCTGAAGAACAAAACTCTTAATTTATAAATGAAATTGTTTGTTTCACCCCATTTCCTGTCATTAGGATGGATGTCACTAAGGCTTCTCTATATGCAAAAACTCCACTTTTTCCTTTTTGTTTTATTTTGTGAGGGAGTGGGCATGTGTTCACACACTCTGCTGAAGTGTGTGAACACATCTTAAAGCTTAAAGTGAGCTGTCTTAGCAGCGCTAACCTTCTGGCATGTTGATGCTCTTGAGCCTGAACTCAAATGTGATTCCGACAGACCGCCTTTAATTTGGTCTCTGGTTTTAAAGAGTGCAGATTAGACCTGGTTTATTAATAGATCATTTATATTTAACTTATTATTTAGATGCTGACATGAATGTAATGATTTCACATGGTTGGAAAAAAAATTGTTTTCTGAATAAAGTGAGATTGTGAGGCTGATGAAATCTCTTATCTTTGTTGTTATGAAGAAATCACAGACTCGTCGCATTTGAATTTATTTATTAAAATAGCAAAAAAAGGGATTATGTTTTATTTACATATGACAAAGCAACAAACTCGGTCACTTACTGAAATACCTTTCAGCCTTCAGTACAATGCAAATCAAATCAGTTTTTTTTACAGCTCCATAGTTGAACACTAAAAGACTACATCCACATTAGAAACAAAATCATGTTTTGAAAACATCTGTATTTGTCTTCATTGAAGCAAGATTTACAAAATAACTGTTTAACATTTTGTCCATCGTCTGTAAGTGCTTGTCGTAAGCCCATGTAGATGTTGCTTCGTGATTTCAGTGAATAGAAAGCATCATCACAAACTCTGGGAATGAAACGGAACAAAACAGAGTCAGGATTGTGTCCTCGACCAGCATTGATGGGAAAATGGAGCGCTTGATGACCTCTGACCTTCGAAGTCGATGCTTCCGTCTGCATTGACGTCCAGCTCCTTCAGGATCTCCTCCAGCTCTCCCTTCTTCAGCTTCTCCCCCAGAAGACTTTTCAGAGCTTCCTTCATCTCGTCCTGGTTTATCTTTCCATCTCCATCCAAGTCAAACTATCGTGAAGGAGAAAATTCTGATTATCTGAAATTTGCTCCAGTTTCTCTATTCTCTATATACAGCTTGGTTTAATTTCATCTCGACAAGCTTTTCTCCAATTATCGTTCCACTAATTTCACTGGATCTGTTTTTTACGTAGCTGACCTGTATGAAGGCTGACTGGAGCTCCTTGAGTCCCAGCATGTTTGTGGTTTCTCCCATCATCCTCGGTCCCATCAGTTCAATAAAATCTTCGAAGTCCATTAAGCCGCCCACTAAAAGAGAGATGGGTGGTGGGGGGGGGGAAGACAGCAAAAAGAGTTGATTTTCACCACATTTGATCTGCAAGTTTTGTAAAATAAGTGAATTAAAGGCGAATTAAACGCGTTGAATTGGTTCAATCTTTATTTTGTTGATGAAAAATGGCGAAATCAAAGAAGTGGTGAAAGTGGACTTTAATCAAAAGATCTGAAGGATTAAAAAGATTTGTTAGCTCTTTAATTTTGTTAGCTCTTTCATCAACATTTAACGACGAACTTTATTTCAAATCAGAGACATTTTACTTGATCAAATTCGTCAAACGTCAAGAAATTTAAACAAATTAAAAGCTGAGGTGCTAAAATTGGATGCAACAAGATTTCTGAATCAAAATGTGAAGAGAAGAAAGAAGAAAAGGTCAGCCTTCATTTAAAAAAAAAAAAAGCTGTAACATTACTTTCAAATATGTCAGAGTCCAGATTGTGCTATAAAAACTCTCTTCTGATCTGTTACCTTTGGCTGAAAACTCAAACTGTTTTCCCGTCGGACTCACTTCTCATCTTGATCTGCTGTACGATCTCCAGCAGCTCCATCTCGGTGGGCATGTATCCCATGGTCCTCATGCATTCGGCCACATCTTTGTAGTTCAGATAGCCGTCCTGGTCGTAGTCGAACTCCTTGAAGGCTTCTTGCAACTCTGCGAAGTGTCAGAAAATATCCACAGCTCCAGGGATGCTTAATCTTGTAGCTACAGCTTAAATAAGCATGAAGGATTTCATAAAAAAAACTCTCTTTTGGCAAAAACTAAACGGGATAATACAATTAATCCACATGTTCTTTCACAACGCTAAACTGAAGGAACATTTTTATGATAAAAATCCCACCATATGGAAATTAAGTGGTAATTCAATCTATTTTTAAGGACTTCCATTATCTTTTAAGATTGAAAATATGGATTTTTAACTTTCTAACCACTTGTTACTGAGATAAATACTGAGCTGCAGAAATGAGACTCACCGTCTATTTCAGCCTGAGCCAGGTCTCTGTCCTGATGAAACAGGAAATACAGTTTAACCGAAATAAATATCAAATTTAAACTATTTACAAAACGTGAAAATCACAACAAAAATCTGTATATACTCTCTTTTTTTTCATTGTGACGAGTGGCTAAGAGATGTGGGCGACTTCCTTGGGTAACATTTATACCCAAAGCAAACAAAACATTATCAATTAGTAGTAATTGAAACCACCAGAACCACTCTACACGAAGGCTATTTTAACGAGTGGCGTTGGACTACGTTTCAGGCGGATAACCTTAACAAACTGTGACATTAAGCCTTTACTAGAGCCGCTAATGCAGCAGAGACACCAGGATCAGAGTCGGCAGCGTCAGAAAGATCCGGAACAAGAAATAAGATGTTCAGGCGATGGCCATCTACCACTGTTTCTACTTTCTTACATATTTTGTATATGCATTTGTGTCAAGATAAAGAAATGTAACTGTTGCTGCTTGTTAAGAAGGTTAATGTAGTTTTCATTCAGTGGTTTGCAGAGTTGGCTACTTACGGCCCCAAAAACACTGTTGAGGATGGAGTTGTAGACTTTGTTCATGCTCTCCGTGTTTTTCTTGGCCTTCTTCGAGGATTTCTTCGGTGTCTCAGAAACCGAACCCGATGGGGAGTTTGTGGCTGTGCTAGTTTTGGAGCCGCCATCTTTGCTGAAAAAAGTGAGAGAACCAACGTTTCAAGTTGCACGGCTTTCTTAAATTGACGTAAGATCAATAAGTTCAAACCTACCCGTCTCCTAAGGCTGAATCGGCGGACGTTGTGGAAGAGGTCCTGTCTGCTGCTTTGGGCATGCTGCTGCAATAAAGAGAGATTCAAGATATAAACAGCAAATACTCTCCTTAGACTTACAAAAAATAGTTACGTAGGCCGTTTCACTTCACTGCCACAACAGACATTGTTCTCCGTTATCACTCCAGACTGCTTACCTTGTCGGATCTCTAACCTAAGTGGCGGGAAAACGGCAGGGAGTTGAGACGCAGGAGCAGAGCGCTTCTTGGTCCGTCTTGGTCGTAAATGATTTCAGAGACTCCTGTCAGACATGACTCCTGTCCTTCTCTTTGACCTGTCACCTTTAGAGAGGCTTAGCAGGTGATTACCTGGCTAAACACGCAGCCAGCAGCCAGAGAGCAAATCGTAGAACAGCAGGGTCAGCCGACTGTACTTCTTTCTCAGAGGTCAGAGTTTTCCTTGTTTGTGCATCACGAGTTGCTTTTGCAGTTTGGTTTGACTGATCTTTGGTGAAACATCCCTTAGTAAGTGATATCGCGACTGGGACATTTAGCAAATCGTTTACTTTCTGAACACAGACCCAACTTTCTAGCTTATAGTCACAAACTTTCTGGAAAGGTCAGATCACAAACGAAATGTTCCATGGATCATTTATCCTCCATGTATCAGAGGGTCTGAGCAGGCCGTACACGAGGATATTTGACAGCGATGAGACCCTCCCCCTGGCTCTTATTGGTCGTTTCTGACAGATCTCTGTATTTCTGCATTTAGCACTAGAAGGGAGAGGAGCTTGATTTTTTTATTTTTATTTTTTTCAGATTATTTGCCTCCTGATATTGCGATGACACAGTTTTAACAAATATGTTAAAATTAAGAAAAATTACATACAATTTCTCATGTTAAATGGTGAATGTAACTAAAACGAAACTGTCAATGTTTAATACCGCTCCTGGATTTTCAGTTATATGCACAGAACATGCATTTACTTTCATATGTTCAGATTTTTTGAAAACAAAAATTCACTCTAATTTCTTGCCGTCTGATGATTCTGGTTTATCACCACTAGAGGGAGACAAAAAGCTGCATTTTGTATTATCCACCAATTTGTCGTAGTTTGCAATATCAATGCTTTTATCAAATATTTCCCTGGTATATATTGACGTTCAACAAGGAACACTCAATACGTCACAAGTGGTTTTATTGAGAAATATATAATTTATAAGTCAAGTTCACTTGAATAGCACATTTCAAAAACTTGGCAGTTCAAAGTTTGACCAAGATTTTTGTGGTTAAGCTCATTTTGTTGAACTTTTATCCAGAACATCAAGATTTGAAAAATAAGATTTCTTTATGCCTCAAAACTTCAGACCACCGCTGGATTGTATTTTTATTTTTTTATTTTTGCATGTTATTTTCCATTTAAGGTGAATGTAAAGATGTAAATACTGTATAGTGATGAATATAAGAGTAATTCTGAGTCCGAGTGGGTTTATAAAGCTCTGTTTAGTTGGTCACAGAAAGGTCAAGGAATTGCCTGAATATTCAGGTAAATATACCAGGAAAGCATTGTGTTTTATAAAACACAATGCTTGTGTTTTATAAAACACAAGCATTTCTTTAAGTCAGTTTCTCTCACTGGCTTTAAAAAAAGAAACAACTCTTGAAAAATCCAAGAACTTTATTTATAAAAAAAACATAAGGAAATGATGCAGGCACAGTTCACAAAGCTGAACAATAAACTACAAGCTCACAAGTACAAGTTTTCCATGATGATGTAAATGTGATAAGAGACAAATCTGTTCTGTGTCATCACGCAGCACTATTTTCAGATTTCCTCTTTCCTGTGATTTATTCAGGAAAGTCGCAGACGGCTCCACGTCCGGTAAATATGCTGCTTTTGCATAAAATTTGCCACATTTTTTGCGGCGGTTTTTTGTTTTTAATCTGTGGCTTCATTTTGATTCTCTAGTTTAATCGGCTGCAAACCGGCAGCATTCATTAAAATCCACTAAGTGAAGCGTAATCTGTACTTTTAATAAATGAAGGTTATAACGGAGAGGGGAGTTCCAGTTAAAGGAAACGTAATCGGGATGACGTCGGTACAACTGGAATCTATCCTTCACGCACGCACGCACACACACACACACCTGTAACCTCCCATACCAGGTATTGTTCTGATTTGATATGAGACATTACACACATTCTGCTGCTTTTGTTTTATTTTTTTCCTCCTGTTTCTGAATCATTCTACCCAACCTTCATCCTGCTTCCCTTTCATGTGTCATCAAATAGTCTTCCTCACCCCCCATCTTCTCCTCTCTCACACCCAGACCTTTCCCTTCCGGCCGCTCTCGCCTCCGTCTCTGCCGCCGCAGCAGCCGGTGCCCAGGCCGCGGTGCTGGGTGGCCGGCAGGTTCTTGTACACGGCCCGGCTGTACGGGATGAAGCACAGGCCCAGCTGGAGGTGTCGGGCCAGACGGCAGTACGCGGCCAACGCCAGGACCAGCAGAGGGGTGACCAGGAGGAAGCCCACCACCAGCAGAGCCACGCAGCCTCCGTCAGTCAGCAGGTCGGAGCAGTAGGGGGTCGTGCCGTGGGGGCGAACCTGCAGACGAAGATCAGGAAAACCGCAGTGAAGGGTTTGGTAGAGGTACAGAACTGTGCAAAAGGCAGTTTCTTTTTTACTGCCTTAAATTCAATCCACTCCTTTCACTTCCGATGCCGATACGGATATCTGAGGCTTAGCGTCAGCTGACACCGATCCGATAAAGAAATTACAAACTTATTTGATAACTCTGCACCAGAACTTAAATACAGCAGTAGCTTCCCGCGCTTGGTCAAACTGANANAGNTGTTAACATCGGATCGGTGCATCTCTAGTATTTATAATTCTCAAGCGTTGCAGAATGTTTTCCAAGGTTTCTCCAGGGTCTAGACGAATTTTCAAACAATTACTGGTTTTAATGGTTACCATGTTGTGATGTCTCATTACTATGTTTAAATTAACATTAAAAACTGCATTTTGTCTGTGTCAGCAAGCAGAAGAAAGAGGAAGTAAAGTTGATTTATTAAACCCCAAAAGAGCATCAAGTGTCAAAGTTCGCCACATTTTAGTCTCTGTAGCAGAACAAGGAAGCTCTTTTGGGAGGTTTCTGTCCTCCCTACATCCAGAAGGAAGCGCCAAAAAGCAGTTTTCTCTCCCTCCTGCCTGAAGTGTGTCAGCTAGCAGCATGTGTGTGGTCTGCAGAATGGCGTTATTTGTCTGTTTCATTTGGTACCAGATTTATTGGACAGCTGGAATTTTAACCAAAACGTTTGTTTTCACTCAGCAGAGCAGCCAAAGTGTAGCTTCTTAATGCGAGACTTTTCAAAAACTCAAGGAGCAATTACCTTGTAAAAAGCTAGTTCCACTTACTCAGTTACATTTATTAAGCATGCTTAGTGTAATTTAATCTTAGTAACAAAACTAATAATACTGAAAAGTGGGACACTTAAATTTCGACGCCATTTTGTGATTCGTGACTCAGTGTTACGCAAAAACATGGTGGCCACAATACCAGTGTGCACAATATTCACATAGCAAAGCATTACGGAAAAACAGACGACAACAAGATTGAAAAAAAAAAAAAAACATTGGTTATTAATATTGACAGTTTTACATATTCGACCGATTTGTTAAAAAATGACAAATATCAACTGACACCAATGCTGATGCCTGTATATTCTGCACCTCTACACTTTTTGGAGTGTAATAACTGTTGGCTAATAACTTGCATTTTTCACGCTAATGTAATATTTAGCTAGGTGTCAGAGCAGCAAACGATTGCATTGGAGATAACTGACGTTGCTCAAAATGCTAACAGTCACAGAGTTGTGGAAGCACAGATGAGGAAGAGAGGGAAGAAGTAAGAAGTGCCTGATATTTTAAATAACATTGCCACCATTGCAACATTTTCTAATATCATGCAGCCCTAGTTTGAATTAGCTTTTTAAAAAAAAAAAAAAAAAAAAAAAAAAAAATTCCTCTGAAAATGAAGGTAAACATTAGAAAAAAGTATAAATGAAGAAGAGACTGTGTTAAAAACCATCACAAGATGCAAAATATAAAGAAATGAGAGTCGCCTCAAGACTTTTGCACAGTGCTGCGTTTAAGGGAAGAGGTCACGGATAAAAGCAGGAGATGACGCACTCCGTGTGGTATGTACGAGGTGAGGACAGGCACTAGTCTGAAACGAAACGCTCGCGTTTATGGGCAGCATTAAGGATCACCCTCTCAAAAATAAAACCCCTTTACGCAAAAAGAACTAGGCTCAAACCGTATGGCGAACTACAAGGTCCCAATCTCTTGTTTTCTCAACGTCTGAACGGTGCATCCTGTTGAACACTTGTTGCTGAGCAATAACAGAGGGAGTGGGTGAAAGAGGTGAAGGGATCGCGATTTGAATGTGGGAGGGAAGCTGAGAGACAGATGGCCTGAATCATCCTTATCGGCCTTCGAGAGACGAATGTTTGAGCGTCCAAACAAAAACGCAGAGAGCAGAAACGGTTTCCAGACCCTCAGCAGCATCGAAAATAAAACTGATAGCAGCAAATCTATTGCTTTGACTCAATTTGAATTCAGAATCCATGAAGATGCCCAACAAATACAGCTTTTTGGTTTTGTTGAAGCTTTATTCATTCAGAAATCGCAGCGAAATGTCTGCTGGTGTTTTCTACAGTCAGTCAACGTGAATCAACTTTCACAGACCAGCGTGGGATGCTCCTCCTCTATCTCAAAGTCTTGAATCGATCCCAAATGTTGTGCTTGTATTGCATTGGGAGATGTCAGTGCAGCACAAACGGGGAATCATCAGGCTGCAAAAGCAAAACGAAACCATCTGGGAGGTAGCTGGAACATTAGGAGCGGCTAAATCAACATTTTTTTCTGCCTTTTTGGGGAACAGAGGAAGCTCTAAAGCTTCTTAAGATGAGACCGGACCTCTTTTTATGTCCATGTAAAATTAAATATATCCGTACAATTGCAGGAAAAGGAAAGGATAAATTTATCCCAGTTCACAGGGTTGGGAAGATTAACTGTTTAAAACATACCTCGACTTGTTTAGAGATGATGATGATGATAATGATTGACTTTCCAGATTGAAAGGCTACAAAAAACAGCTCCTCTAATTCATTTCTGATGTCTTTACGCCCTGGGATTGTGTTAAACTCCTGCTTTTATAGTGTTGCTCTCACTGATAGTGATCAGTTAATCGACTGCGCAGGCTAGCTGCTGACATTTAGCCTAAATCCAAAAGGACGCAGCAGGGTTTTACTTAGCTTTCTGATGAGAGGAATCACTGTCATTCTTATTAATCCGTTATGAATTTTTTGTGCACTTTCAATTAGATTTGAGTGAATTTAGAATTTTTCAAATACTGGGTCATTTTAATATTCTCCTAGTGGAGAAATCCTGTAATTTGGTTTCTAAATTTGAGGTTCCTGAAGTAAATTATTCTGTGTGTTTTAAACCGGTTGAGTTTGAATCCTTTGTATTTTCTATTCTTTTGGTTTGCCTCGTTCTTCCAGCATGCCAGAGGCTGGATAATCCCCCTCTAATCTGCTGTCACATGAGGTCTTATTGTGAGAGGACATGAGAACGGAGAGAATCCTGGTTTCTCTGGTCGTTAAAGGGAGGTCGGCGATTTAAAAAAAAAAAAGTTTTTCTGGACAAAACCACAAACCCTGGATGACGTTTTCATCCAATTCAGGATGATTAAAGCCAATAACACACATGTAGTTTCTGTACTGATAACATTTTATATTATTTTCTTTGTTTATTAATTAGTTGCAGGAAACCATTTGCTTTTCTGGCTCAGTTGCTCCCTCCAGATTCCCATCTCCTCAACAATGTCAGATCTATTTGATTATGAAATCTCTCATCAGAGATGGAGCCAAAGCTCCACCCTCCGCCTCAAGCAAAACTATTTCAAACTTCTGGATCAAAGTTATAAGATTAGCACTTTCAGATGTTTCATAAAAGGATGGGTTTAACCATCTTCCAGCCCCTTTGTAGTCTGGTGTTTAGTTGCTATTTTATGCGAAAGATAGACACAAAGTGGTAAATATTGATAAACTGGTAAGAAAAATGTATGATTATATGTCAGTTTTTATTTGTAAAATGCCTGAAGATGATATTTGTTGTAAATTGCTGCTATTTAAAGAAACTGAATTGAATTAAAGAGGGCCCTCTTTACATGCAGGGAACATGATGATCCTGATCAAATCTGAACATTTTGGACAGCCAGTTTTTTTTTTTTTATCAATTCACTTTCCAAATATGCATTAAGACTGCTGCTGATCTATCAAAATTACAAACATATTGTAGTGGTCGATTGTAGAGTAAAAGTACACAACGTCACAGGTCAGTACATTTTCAGTTTGCTTCAATCAAGAAAACTTAATTAACTTCATCTTTTTCTACTTTGCTCAGCAGTAAACAATGATTTTTGCAATGAATTAGATTTTCTCATGTTCTGAAATATAAGTATATGTGGTTGGATTTTCTCCAATGATTAAAGCAGCATAAGAAGAGTACAGGATAGGCAAGTTACACAACATTATAACCACTTGAAAAAAGTCCAATTGATAATTAATTGTAAGACCGTGTCAACATTGGAGAATAAAACACGTTTAAATTGCATCGGTGTTGTTTTCATTTTGACGCCCTATTATCCCAGCTGCACCTGAACGAAGCATCAGCAGCCGTTGGGGAAAATCCCTTGTAGCTGCATGCTAGCTGAAGGCGGTATCGGTTCTCCGACAGGATTCGATACGATACGTTTTCGGCATGACTGCATAAATCGTCATTTCTTACCGTAGAGTGACACAGGAAGCCGAACACAACCATGACGATGGCCGGGGTCAGGATGGTGCCGAACACAACGGCGGCGAGGCAAGCGTTGATGGCAGCAATCACCAGGTTCTGGGCCGTCACCAACACCGAGCAGGCCCAGCAGTCCAGCGACCCGCGCAGCTCCAGAGGGGCCTCGCCGCCCCCAACGCCGCCGCTCTCGGCTGCGGAATACGGAGGAGGTATGACCACACGCGACGGGGTTTCTCTACCTCCGCCCACAGCGGTGGTGGACGCCAGGGAGTTGGAATGGTGGAGATGCTGCTGGTGGTTGGAGTGGTGATGGAGGTGAGGCGGCAGCTCCTCAGAGAGGTCCAGGGCCTGGTGGTGGGCCCCCTTCTCCAGAGTGCTGCTCAGACTCATGGTGAACTGCACAGAGAGATAAATAGAAAGAAAGAGGCAACAAATGTCAGGAGCTACCGGATAAAACGGGTTAAGTTGATCAAAGTTGCCTCTTTGGGTTCATGAAGAGGTTAGATGTTTAATCTGTGAGGAAGCGTCTGAATCTCACCAGGGGTGATTGTCATCAGCGAGCTGATTGGCTGAAAGGAAAGGGGCCCATAATTGCCATTTGTGTGTTGTGGTGAAGAGATGAAACTAACATCAAGGTCAGGGTGTGTTTGTGTTTTCTGGATGTGAAGTTGTTGCATATTTAAACAACATAGATTTATCTTTACTGTGCAAATGAAGGTTGCTTGAACTTTGTCACTTTTTGCCACATTGCAACCACAAATCACGTATTTTACTGTGATTTTATGGAATAAACCAACACAGGGTAGAACATACCTGAAATGGAAGGAAGATTATACATGGTTTTCCAGTTTGTTTTGCAATGGAACTATGAAAACTTAGGGATTTGTGTTTACTCAAATACCCATAATCAAAACATGTGAAACTAATTTCCTTCAGAAGTCACCTGATTAGTAAACTCTGTAGCCTGGTGTGTAATTTAATCACAGCATAAATTCTGATATGGGGTTAGGGTAGTTATTGTGGTCCAGTCAAAGTCCAGATCAAAAACCAGTTGAGAATTTGTGACAAGACTTAAAGATTCATCTTCACAGATGTTCTCCATCAGGTCTGACTTAGCTTTAGCTATTTTAAAAGGAAGAAAAGACAACAATTTCAGTCCTTTAATGTGTGAAAGTGTTTTAAAAAAAATACTCCAAATGATTTGCAGCTGTAATTACATGAGAAGTGGTTCTACAGAACATTGTGTGGATACAAATGTTATTTTCAGGTTTCTTTTGTAAAGGAAAAACAAATTGGAACCTCACTGTTCGTCTTCATGATTATGCACTGCTAAATGTTGATATTTCACACAAAATTCCCAACAAAATACAAAAATATTTGAAGTTGTAACATAAAAAAAAAGCATGAAAAGAATTTATAGGGGCCAATTATCTTGCTGCAAAGCGCTGCCTTACGCTGCATATCATGCTCCTCTTCCCCACAGTTATTGATATAATGTGTTAGATTATCTAGTAGACAAGAAGAGTTTTATTGCTGCTGCTTTTAGTGAAGAATGTCAGCAGAATTAGATTTACAACCTCATTCAACCACATTTTTGCATGAGACTTTTTGAGTTCGCCCAATGTTCGTGTTTCCAAACTCTGATGCCAGAGTTTTAGTGGAAGTTCTGGATGGATCCAAGATTCTTAAGTTTGCATTCATCCTGTTTTTGGACAGATTTTTTTCTTTTCTTTTTTGTGATAAGCAGCTGTGTCTGGTACAGGATATCCTCACCTCTCGAGGGTCATGAGACAGAGTAACAGATTAAAAAAAAAATGTCACTGCACTTAAAAGATTCCACTCTTGTTAATATATTTGATGCTAAAATGCAGGGAATTTGTACTGGACCTCAGTTTAAGAACGTAAAGACTGATTCTTCTGCAACTGCAGAGAAATGACTAACTCCAATCCATCCAACATTCAGTTGAACTCAGGCCACATAGATTATTTACTCATTTTGATTTTTGATCACCGAGCTAAACATCCTCTCTGTTTTCATATGCATTTCTATGCTTTGAAACGACACCAGTTGTGAATTCGCAAACTGCACTGAATTGTGAAATAAGCTGCCAACGAAAAATCATGCCAAACTGAAAACGGGAGAACTGACCCCCTGTGGTGCAACATAAACTGAGTTGACCTGTGATTTTCATGCGTTGAACTGGTGTCTGTTTTTCAGAGAAAACAATCGATCGTGATCCAACCCAAGAAATTTCTAGAGAAGGGGGGACAGCTACATGTTAAAGAGGCAAAGCTGAGCATTTACGTTTGTCCAAATTTACAAGTTTACGGAGCTACAAGCAATTAGAGCTTCAAATTAAATTGAAAAGAAATATCATAAACCAAACATTAAGAATCAACTGGGTTGTCGTGACTTTTTTCTTTTTCTAAACCCTTGTTGAAATAAGATCAGGTGGAGTGAGTGACTAATTAGAAAATATTAGTGTGATGTAACCTGTTTGTTTAACGTGCCCCTAGTCTATTGTTGTCCCAAGTGTTGTGAGGTGGAAGGTCACAGAGGAAGGCCTGGCAGGAAGGTGCTTTCGCGCTCATGCTTGTGTGTGTGTGTGTGTGACTCAGTTGTACCGCACTCCACCCCTTTCACCTCCTACTGCCGTCTGAAAAACAGTTTCTCTTCATAATATGTCTTAGTTTTAACTCAGAAGATACAGATTACAAGAACAATTCATATTAATACCTTCGTGATAAAATGCGGTGTGAGAGTTTCAAACTTTGTTGATTGGAAATTGTCTGCAAATCTGATAATTTGGATTTTAGAAAAATAAAACTATTGGTGCTAAATCTGTAAGCTCGCCCTCGACTGGAGTATTGACGTTAATATCCTTGACATTTCTAACCAAATGTAGTGACTCTAAAAATAGGTGTCACTTTCTTTATTGCCGTTAATTTTGCTCTTTGTCTTTCATTCGGAATAACTTACACAATTAAATGTTTAGGTAAATGTTATTTCCCCTGTTAGATGACGAACCTAAAACATCAAATTGAGGAAATTTCACCTTTCGCTGGGCGTTCCTTTGAAGTCTAACCCGCTGATTCAAAATTAGCAATTAAATTAATTTGAGGATTTTTTAAAAATACATTTTAAGCACTATGGCAGAAAATATATAAAAAAAACACATCTGTAAATGAAGGAATGCCAGTATTTTTTTTTCCCATTCAAATCTTTTTCTTTTGGAGTTTTGTTGGCACTAGGACAACTGATCAAAAGAAAAATGTCAATGCTTTAACTTACGTTTGTTTTATTTTATTTTTGTCTTATTCCTTAGACAAAATAAGTGGAAATTTTCATTTGACTGTTTATTTCTCTCCTTTTTGTATATAATTTTAATATAATTTTAGCATCATTTATTGTTTTACAGTCGGTAAAACAATACGGTTCTCCAAAGAACCTTTAAAAAACACTTTTAAGATGCTTTAGGTGTTTGAATTTTTTGCTTGTGGAAAGTTTATGACGCCAACATAGAGAAACTAACTGCGGCGTGTCGGGCTGCAGTGGATCCCAATCTGTTCTTCTCTCTCTCTGTGACATTAGTCTGAGCCAAATGAGCTCCAGTGTTTCTCTTTCTCTAAAACTCTTAGACCTGAAAATCAGCTCGGAGTGCGTAGACGTTTTTCCCAGATCAGATGTTGCAGAGGAACGTGAGGAAACGGGGGAGATGCTGCAGCTCTCGTACTCACGTTGTGATGTGCGGCCCGTTGGACCTCTAGCTGTTCCTCCTCCAGATTCGCTTCTCGTCAGGATGACTGCAGGCCACTTGGTTTCTCCTGCTCGGTTCAACAACACTCTTTCTTCTTTCAGTCGTTTCTCCTGCTTTTTTCTTTCTGTTCTGATTTTGGTTTTCTGGTGGTTTCCAGCTGCTCCTTCTGGTTTTTCTCTCCTTTATCTCTGTTGTCAGCCACTATATTCTCCTCTCCTTTTTTGTTTTGTCCTAGTTGCAACTTTAAATTACTTTAAATTAGCTGCTAACACACCGTGTGCACAGATGCTGATGAAAACACTAGCTCTCACAGTTCCTCTGGTCTTTGTTTTAAGTATGTCAAACTTTTACCTCCGCCTCTTTTACCCCCTGCCCACCCATCTGATTGCTCCCACATCCAGCCCACTTTCTCTCCCCTCCCATCAGACTTATCAGCCTCTCTCCAGCGGCTCCTCTCAGCGAAACGCATTCCACCGCTCATATCCAGGACATGCTGCCTGCTGCAGTGGGGGCTGGGTACGTCTTTTAGGGGTCAGCATGGGGCGGCAGGCCTGATAAGTTGAGGTTCAGGAGAGTCGAAAACATGGGGGAAGGGCCGCTCAGTCAGGCTTTTGGTGCGTCTCCTCGCAGTTGTGGAGCAGACGAATCGACGATGCTGAAATATAAGTCGGTTTAGTGTTCGGTTTGGCGGATCAACTTTTTTTCACAGCAGCTTTTCAGGTACTTTTCCAAAAATCTCAGTGAAAACAAAGAGCAAAAAGCAAAACATCCACAGCCAGCTGCAGGCTGTTCATTTCTTCATGTTACTTCCAGAGCTGGAATTCAATCGCAGTTGCTGGGATGCAATAAAGTTTTCCGTGCATTCAACACGGATACCCTTAAATAAGATGAACATTCCTGAAATATCAACATCCAATAGAAGAAAATGTTTTGCGTTTTTGCAAAGGTTTTATGTTTTTCTTTTTAGACTAAAAATAGAAATGGAAATAATGTTGTTTTTTTAATTACAACAAACTTGCCATAGTTTATTTACATGTCAAAATTTCATGTAACATTTGCATCTCTAAGCTGTTTTTGTCCTGTTGGCTCTTCTGATTGCAGAGCGTTGCTCTGTAACATAACATGCAGAATCTGTGGTTGTTGCATAACACAATATGAAAAAGTTGAAGGGTTGTTAATAGTTGAAATATGAATACGTTATCTGCTGCTTCTTTGTAGTAGTGAAGCAAGAAGAACCAGATCCCCAGAGATGGAGGGAAAAAATGAGTCTGATGATAAAACATCAGAGCATAAGCTCAATAATTAGCCTCATTACATCCTGATTTTCCACCCTTTTTCCTTTGCTTTGAGCTTTGCAGTGTTTATTTACACGACGTGACCACCATCGTCCACATATTCGCCCCCCTCCTCTAAAAAACGACACTAAAGGGACAGCGGTCAAACCCGACACATCCAGTTTTTTTCTTGTCAGAAGAGATGAGCTAGTTTCTTTGCGGTCTTTGCTCCCATGCTTTGCGGGAGCAGCATAAACAAACTTCAAAGTTGTGACCATCATGATTGCGCCGGTGGAACGTGATTGGACGGCCGAAGTGTTTTGTCTTGGCAGCGAGGAGGACGTGAACTCTTATCACCACCTGCCTGCAGCAGGGTGGACAGATATACGGACGGAGGTGGTCTTCCTTTGTGTTCTCAAAGCAGGATTTCCTCCTGCGTGTCCCTCTGCTGCCCCTTTGGCCTGCAGCGTGACCCGACAACGCGGCCACCTGCCAAATCTGTCGTTTCACATCAGAACCGAAAGTTAAACCCGCAAACAAGCGGCAGAAACCGGGATAACGCAGAGGTTGTTTTTTTTTGTTTGTTTGTTTTTTTTGTCGATGGCTTTTTAAGCCTTGATGTCAAATTTCACAACCACCATCGCATCGTCGACATAACGTCTGATGGAGCGAACAGGAATCGTGAGGTTATTGTTGCCCTTGGAGCGAATTACATCCTGCTACATTTTCTGTTTTTTAAAAAGCAAACTTCTGGCGTCTGTTTTCTTTCTGCGAGCCCAAGAAATTTAATCCCGCCTGTGGATTATCAGGGAGGAAACTGAGCTCTGACAGTTTTGTTACCGCTCTCCACTTTTTCCTGCTCCGCTATCGAGGAAGTTTGGCTGCTTGTATAATCTCCTTCCTCAGTTTACACATGGAAACATTTTTTTTCATGTATATTTTTATTGTAACTAACAGCATTCCCAGGCTAAAGAAACAATCCGAACAGATGACTTTTAAATTCTCTTCAACAAGCCTCATTTAAAGCATAGTATGCGATATATGGAGTTGCAATGGTAAATTGTTGAATTAATTTGTAGGATTTAAACCATAACGATGTATAAAATTATATATATTTTTTGCCCTAATAAGGGTTGTACAATTAATCAACAACAATGTGTATTACAATACTAGAAAATCAGTAGATATGTCCGATAAAATTTTCAAACATTTCACTGGACTCTGATCCAGAACCACACGGCATTCTGGGAGATGTAGGCGGAGGAAAGTTTAGCTGCTCAACCTCTGGCAGCCAGCTGAGCAAAGTTGGTGGAAACAACCTTCCTCCCTCTTTGGTTACCTAGCAACTCACTCTCTCTTTGGTTACCTAGCAACAACCTGTTGAGTTTCAGGTTTCACTATTGTGCCTCATAAATACTTAAAAAAATAAATTGAGGGAAGAAAGTTATTACAAATATTTTGAACACCATTGCAAAAAAAAAAATTGCATAATCCTGGAAAGACTGATTTATGTGAAAAGATATTTAATTTTAGAAAGTATCAGATGTAGAAACAGCTAATTAATATTTTTAACAGTTTGCTAATATCTTTTATTAAGACTTTCTGGCTCAAACTGCCCTTGGAAACATTTATGATTTTGATATGGTCCAAAAATAAAATTAGTTCTTGAGAAAGTTAAAAATAATAGAAAGTGACCAGATGAGATCATTTTTCCACTGGTTTTAAGCAGATGTTGGTTACTTGGTTACTTCTGCAAATGTTACCACCAAATCAAATGATCTCAGTATGAAGCTAAACAACTGAATGTGGTGAACTTTTTCACTGAAAGTCGGACCATTTGTCTGGATTTATCAAGTGTTTATTTAATTAATAGTCATAGTAATGTCACACAAATTCACAAGTGTTTAAGACATGTTCTGGCTCAGTTTGGTGTGTGTGTCTGCAAGTAGGTCTGTGTGAATTCGCTAAAACAGTGCAGTTATAAATAAATGACCACAAAGAGAAGGAAAAGGTAATATTGCAACAGGAAAAATAGATTTCTCAATTGTAGAGGAAAAAAAAAAAAAAAAAAGATTGTTCAAAAGAGAACATTTAGCACCATCTATCCCAGTATATTGAACAAATATCATAAAAATCTTGTCTAAAAGCCTCCTACGTAGTAAAAAAAAAATTACCATTTCTCAAAACACTTTGGAAAAATTAGTTTTTTTTTTTCCTTAATGAGGATACAAACACAGCATTCCATTAGTCATCTCTACGTGAGCAGTGTGTCTATCATCTACAGGAAAGGTGGTGTTATATTCAAGATAAAGATTTAATTCAATATATATCAGGAGAGAAAAGGCAGAGGTCGAGAGGCAAGCACCAGGAAAACAGCACCGTCCACCGCCACGTTTCAGTTCTTACAAAGCAGTCACCGTGTCAAAAAAAAGAGGAAAAACAATGTACAATTCATCAAAAAGGGAGAACATTAATATCCAATAAATAGAGAAAACATTTTTTTAAATTAAATGTACAATTGCTAAAAGAAAAAAATAACTGCATCCTGAAACAAGAGGTACAGCACACACCGGATTTTTCTTTCTTTTTTTTTTTTTTTTCTGGACAAAGTTCATACAGAGGAAGAAAAAAACAGAACAAAAGACCTGATGATGTGTGACAGCTGAGTATTAATCTCCAGAAGAAATAAAGTATAATTCATAAGAACAAGATTTACAACAAATACAAGCATCTGAAAAAAAAAAAAAACAACCAACTCAACCCCTCCCCTTAAAAAAACTGTTGCTAAAACCCGTATCTTTTGAAGCATTCCAAAAAATTGTAATTTTTAAAATACTTAATGCTTTAGAAAAATGTTCATATCTCTATTATTAGTAATTTTATTTTCTTTCTTTTCTAAATACAAGGCCAATGTGGTATATATCTAGGCTGATCTAGTTTAGAAAAAACAAACTCAAACAATAAATTATTTAGAAAAAGACAGCACCCCACGAAATTTTCAAACGGCATGTACAAATTTCAGTATTCAAGACAAACAAACAAAAAAAAAAAAAAAAGCGCCATTGAAAGTTTCTCCTCCACAGTTTGTTCAATGGCAGCACCAGCTGCCCTGCTGCCAGGGTTTCTGCTTCAGAGCACCATCTGAGAGTAAACTGGGATTTTGTTGGGGGCTTTTTTCTTTTTTTTTTTTTTTTTCACTTTTGATTTTGTAAACAGTAACAAGTAAACGTATTCAGCTGGATGATCAGCAAATCGTAGCAGTAGCAAAAAAAAAAATAAAAAAAATAAATAAAATAATGAAATGGTGGGTTTAGAAACCAAAATGAAAACTGTCTTTTCTTTTTTTTTTTTCTTGTCCTGGCGCTGCAGGAGTTTTGGTTATGGCTGAGGAGACCCAGACGGGGGAGCTCTGTCACCGAGAGGAGGACGCCTGGTGAGGAAGAACGAAAACAAAACCAGCCACAGTTAGACGGTTACTCTGAGACGGAGGACTCTCCAAACAGCTGGAAGGGTTTTTGCTCACCAAGCCGAAGGAATCGTACGCGCTCATGAGCTCCTCTATGCGGTACTGCTCCAGCACCACCACGTTGTTCAGGTTGGGGCTGCGCTGCCGGGCGCAGTCCTCACAGTGGACCACGTACGTCTTCCTGCTGCTGTTCTCACACGTCACAAACAGCAAGTTGAACACCTCCACCTGCGGCAGGACGAGTTTGTTTTGCACGTTAGCACGCAAAATATTCCTACGATGCGATATTGGTACGGCTTAGCAACATTTTGACACTGAATTCTGTTTTTAGATGAGTTTATTTTAGTTAATTTTTCATGAATTATGAACATAAACACCTATAAATGTTTAAACTGCCCCCTATTTTGGCCAGATAACTCCTATAAAATGAGAAACTCTTGACCCAACTATAACTCTAGTAGGCAGATAATTATTAGTCACAAAGCTGCATTAGTCACAAGTCTGATTTTTTAAAAATTATTATTTAAAATGTGTTTTCGCTGTTAAATTTTAAATTAATTCTAGACTAATTTGAAGAACTAAGATTTTTAGGTTTTAAAT